ACAAATTGGGCCATACGCTTGCCTTGGGTATGCCGAGGCGGGGGGTGGGGGGGTGGGGATGTGGCCCCAGCCCCTGCAGTCCCACTATGTATTGACTGATGCCACTAGAGGCTCCGAGGGCTGGGGAGGGGGAGGGGGAGGGGGCCTGCAGTTCCTGGGTGGGAGGAGGGAGGCTGGATCCCTTCCTCCTTGTTAAAGTTCTGGTGCCTCCAGGTAAAAGTCCAAACTCAAAGCCTTGCCTAATATGGCCTCTGCCTGCCCCTCCAGCTCCACCTTATTTATCACTCGCAGTGGGCTTACCATGCGCCAACATCACCCTAAACTCTTACAAAATGGACCTCATTTAATCCTTATAAATAATACCCCGTGAGATAGGTACTGGTATTATCCACACTTTATAGAGGAGACAGGCACAGGGCCATGACAGAGCTCATAAAGGCAGAGCCAGTATGCGAACCCAGGCCGTGTGGGTTCAGAGTCTGCGCTCCAGCTGTGCCATTGTGTGTCCTCAAGCTCTCCCTCCCCACGTCATTGCCCTTCCCTCAAACACACCACAGTTCTCACCTGTCACCTGCCTGTTCCCACTTCTGGGCCTTTGTACTCTGGGTTCTGTCTGCCTAGACTTCTCTCCTTATCTGACAACTTCTACTTAGCCTTAGATAGCCAACTCAAATGTCACCTTTCTGCGAAACTGCCCTTGACCCCGCCCCGCCCCCCCCCCCTTGCCAAAGCAGGCACCCTCCTCTGTGTTCACAGAGCACTCTGTACATATAGCCGCTGCACACAGCCCTGGGACTGGAGCGCCTTGATGTCAAGGGCTGTCTCCTCCCCAGTTGTCCCATCCCTGGATGCCCAATGTGTAGTCTAGGACTTCATCCAGCTCAGGAATTATTGGTAAATGTGGGATGGGCTAGGGGTACAGACAAGACTCCATCCCTTGCCCTCTAAAAACTGACCCACAAGTAGCCCAAGAGCCAAGGGGATCAGTGTCCCCAGAAGGGCACAAAAAGCTTGCATTGTCAGCTGCTTCGATGGACAATGCTGTGCTTCCCACCGGGAGGGTCGGGCAGGCTTCTCAGAGGGTCCTTGAAGCCCCGGGGGAGGGGGGGGTGCATGCGGGCAGCACGAGTTGGGGACAGATTCCAGGCTGGAGAGGCAGACAGGTAGGAAAGCAGCACGTACTGTGAGTTCAGTTGAGCCCATCAGCCCCACCAGGAGGAGGTTAGTGCAGAAGCTGCCCCGTTCTCCGTGCTGTCCCCTGCCGGCACCTAGCACAGTGCCTGCACATCATGGGTGCACCCTAATGATTTGTTGGAGGCAGATCTCGCAGGGCGTGCAGCCTTATACAATTTGGAGTTCCTGTTTAAGGAAAAGAATGCAGGGGCACCTAGGTGGCTCAGTTGGTTAAGCGTCCGACTTCGGCTCAGGTCGTGATCTCACGGGTCATGGGTTCGAGCCCTGCGTCGGGCCCTGTGCTGTCATCCCAGAGCCTGGATCCTGCTTTGGATTCTGTGTCTCCCTCTCTCTGCCCCTCCCCCCTCTCAAAAATAAACATAAAAAAGAAAAAGAAAAAGAATGCAAAATTCCTACCGTACATGGAGGCACAAAAGTGAATCTTTGCCACAAGAATAAAAAGGAACGTGTGACAGAGCTGAAGCTGCAACAGGCCCACTGTTAATCCTCCTCTGGTCATATAAGGAGGATATGACCTCCTCTGGTCATATAAGGAGGATATAAGGAGGATGCCAGGCTCTGGGAGGGTGGGCACGAGACCGACAAGGTCAGCCTTCTCTGTCAGCCCCAGAGGCCCAGGTTCAGAGCCTTCCCCTGAGCCCTCGGTCACCCTCCCAGGCAAACTGCCATGACCATGAATCTGTCACGCTTTGTGGGACTCTCTGGTGGCAAAAAGGCCGGATTCTCCCAGGTCAGGAGACTTCCTCCCCGCCCCCCACCGCCCCCCCCCCCCAGCCCCGGGGAGGGTAGCCAGAGGGCGAATGTGGGTGTCTGAGAACTATTTGCTGGTCACCTCCTGGTGACCTTGGGCCCTCTTCCCCCAGGCCTCAGAGGTGATGGGGGTCTATTCTGAAAGCCTCCTTTTCATTCTGGCATTCTGCTCATCTGAACCGCCTAGGAGGCTCTCTCAGCAGGGGCGGCCAGAGAACTGCTCTCTGAGAGCCTCATTCATTGCTCTATGTTGAGGTCTTACAAGGCCCGGCTCTACACTCCGTGGGGTGCTGGTGGGTGGGGGCGCACTGCCACAGACATGCTCCCACAGCCCAGTGGGGCCAACTAGACACCAAATACATAATTACAGAGCCTTCAAGCCAAGAGATCTCGTACCGAAGGCAGACTTCCTGGGAGAGTCCAAGAAGGCTTCTCAGTGAGGAGACACTTGATTTGCGAGATGGAACATTCATTCAACGGTTACCCACTGAGCACCTGCTATGTGCTGGGCTCTGAAGATATAGCAGTAAAGAGGGTAGATGGGCATTTGCCCCAGAGTTTCTTCTCTTCAGTTCAGCAGGGAAGTAGAAATCACTCGGGAGAGAAAGGGAACACGGTACCCCAGGCAAGGACAATTGTGAGAGCAACCACAGGGAAGGGACAGACTGTATCCTGCTCATGGATAGAGCTGAGAGAAGTCTGGTACAAGGGGAGAGGAAAGTGATTGGAAGAGGAGGCTGGTGAGGCTGGGAGAGAGCAGTAATGGAGGCCTTGAAACACCGGACTAGATATTTAGGACCTGATCGTGCTGGCAACGGGGAGCCATATGAAGGTTCTGGGCAGTGGGAGAAGTCGAAGTTTTCTTAGCAAAAGTGCCCCCTCCCAGCCCTCCTGCCACATCCACCAATGCAAGCTTCCTGGAGACAACCTCCAAACTCCCAACCCCTGGGCTTGGCTAAGAGAGGGTGCTCCCCTGGACTTCAGCCTCGAGCTCACCCTCTTCCTTGTTCTTCCAACCAGACCCTAAGGCTGCTGCACTCTCAAGAGGGGATGGGCCAGAGCCTCAGGGTCCAGACCTCATTGAAGACTCCAACCTTCACTGTGCAGGCCCATGGCATTTGCCTCCTGTGGCTTTTAACTGTTTTCGTGCTACCTGGTTTCCCTACAAAGCTCTCTTTCCCCTATCAATGCCTGGCTTAAAATTTTCCAGGCCACCCTTCTGACAACCAGTGAGTCCAGGCTGGGGCCTCGGAATAACCCTGCTGGGTTCAGGGTCATGAGCAAGACCCCAACAGAGTTCTTGGTCCTCAGAATAAAGTCTGAACTCCCTCCTGTCTGGCTCTGTCATGCTCTTCTCTTCCCATCAGTTCTGCTGTTCCTTCCCTGGGAGCTGTCCAACCACTCTGAACTTGTCTTCAACAAAGGAATGTCCTCCCTAACCTCCACGGTTTTGCCCAGGCTGGCCTCTCTGCCCAGAGCACTGTCCATTCCCTGAGGTTCCCTCCTAATCTAGCTACCCCCTACTTCTGGCCTGAGCCTGCCTTTTACTCCCTCAGGGAAGCCTAGCCTAACCCTCCAGAATAGACCAGGGGTCCCCAGGAGTGTTCTTTCAGACTCCATGCCTTTACATATGCGGTTTCCTCTGCCAGGAATACCCTTCCTTCCATTTTTTGAAGTCTGGTGCCTGCCAGTCCCCGCCAAGTAGCAGCATCTTTATTTCCCTTTTACAGATGAGGAACCAGAGGCTCAGAAAGGTCAAGTAACCTGGTCACAGCCACACAGCTATGCCCTAGAAAGCGATAGTGATGAGTGGATAGAATCCTGTGCCAGCTATATGATCTTGAGAATATCACTTGGCCTCTCTGTGCTTTGGTGTCATCAGGGAAATGGGGCACCTATTGTGTGAGGCTTACTGAAAAGCCTTACTGTGCAGCCGCCATTCCTTTGCTCCCCAGGCCAATTAGTGACTTTTACATGACCCAGCAGCACATCAACCCTCATTCATTCATACATCAAAACCCTCTAACGTCTGCCCTGTGCCCTGCCCTGTGCAGTTGGCAGGGGACTCTTGGAAATAATCAGATAATCAGACACAGCTCCCCCGACCCAAGGCGCTGGGGGAGGGGAGGGCAGGGAGCCGAGCGCAGATGCTGCCTTACTCGAGGGGAGGGAGAAAGAGAAAGAGACAGAGAGATTGAGAGAGAGAGGAATTGAGACAGAGGGAGTGCGTGTGTGTGATCCTCACACACTGCTCTTGATTTAGTGTATCTATAACTGGCAAGGACGCTCCTCCTCGAAGATGGGCGCTGGGAAGGGGAAAATGTTGAAGGAAGGAAGGAAAGAAGGAAGGGGGGGGAGGATGGAAGGGAGGAAGGAAGGAAGGAAGATAGGTAGGTAGGTAGATACGATCTTTATTTTCAAAAACATTTTTCACCGCTTCGTGAAATCTGAATGTTTCACGGCTTCCAATGCTCACCTCCGCGCGCTGAGCCCTTGAACTGGGGAAGGGGGAAGAGTACTGTGGAGGCGGTGTCCCACCACCCCGGAGAGCTCCCCTATCCCTGGGGACTCCGCTATCCCCGAATACCTTACCTCACCTCCACCCTGCTTCTTTTCCTACCGCCTGACCCCCCACTCCCCAACACACGGCAGCCTCCGCGCCCCCATCCCACACACAGCAGTCATCACCTCTCCCTCCATCTGGGTCCCCAGGCGACTCTGTACCCCGTTCCACTCTTTAAAACCCCCCACCCCTCCATTGTCCTCTCCCCAGCCGCAAAGTCTCCACTGTCTGCCCCGCCCTCTTCGGGGTAGAGTACACGTTCCGCAGAGCTCCGCTCTTTTCCCATCTTCCCATTGGCTCCCGCTGTCGGACAGAGCGGGGCCGGAGGAGGGTCTCTGGGGCGCGCCCCGCCCCTTGCCAAAGGCCCGGCGGGGGGGGCGGGGCCTCGCTTGACCCCGCCCCGCTCGGACGGAGCCGCGCCAGCTGGCGCTCTGGCGCTGGGCGGCGCTGCCTCGGCTGGGCTCGGCTCCGGCTCCGGCTCCGGCTCCGGCTGCAGCTCTTGTGGGGGTGGGCGGCGGGGATGACAGCAGCGGGGGTGGCTGCGGCTGCCGCGCAGGGCTGAGCGAGCCGCGAGCGAGCCGGGGGAAGAGGAGGAAGTGGAGCCGCGGCCCCGAGCTCCGGAGTCAGCCGACGCGCGGAGGTCCGCCCCATTTTGCAGAGCGAGCCGAGTCCGGACCTGGGAAGACTTCTCCGCCGGGCTTCGGCCGCCGCGGCTCTGCGTGTCCTCGCCTGCGCCCTGCCCCGCCTGCCCCAGCCCGGGGTTCTGTGCCGGGACGCTCCCAGCCCCGCGATCCGGGGCGTCGCGGCTGGGACGCCCTGAGCTCCCGACCCGATCCAGTGCCCTGGGGCGGGAAGCTCCTGGCCCACCGTACTGGTCTATGGTTGCGGGCTTGTACCCTGCCTTTCTGTAGTGTGTGTCGGAGCCCCCGGACCCGGGTTAAGACGGGTGCCCACAGCCTCCCGACCGAGTGCAACGGAGCCCAGAAGCCCCCAGACTCTGGCTCCCGAGACCCAAACCTTCAGCTGCCTTCCGCCCGGTGCTTCGGACTTGGGACCGTGCGAACGCCCAGGAAACCCCGGCCCGGGTCCAAGCACCCCGTGAGGGGTCCCAAGCCTGCTGGGCAGTTGGACTGAGCCGGACCGAGCTGGTGCTGCGAGCCGAAGCTGTCACCTTTCTGCCGCCCCAGGCGAGGGCTCAGCGTTTGCCCCGAAGAAGGGATCACAGGCCACCCCACCACCACCACCCCTGCCCGGCGGCCGGCGAGAGCCGAGAGCCGAGAGCTGCAGGTGAGAGAGCCCCGGATGCCAGGCAAGGGCGGCCTTCGACCCCTACCGGGCAGCGCGGGGCCAGCTGCGGGCGTGTACCGGGCACTAGCTGGGGCTGGAGCTAGGAGAGGGCGCCTGGAAGGGAGAAAACGGGCACTTATTCAGCGCCCATTGTGTGCGGGTCCGCGCCCCACCCTTGCGCAAATGGTCCCTCATTTAAGGCTCACTACTATTCCATGAGATAAAAGGTGTTGTGCATTGTTATGGGCTCTTACAGATGGGGACGCAGAGGCTCAGCGGGGTTGAGTGACCCTGATGTTTTCACTCTGGGGGATGAGACTGGGGTGGAGGGTTAGGGTGGAGAGGGAAAGAAGTGGAGAACGAAGAAAGGAAGTGGATAGCCGCCAGGCAGGAGGTGGCGGGGAGGGGTCAAAGCAGGGCCACTGGGGCATCCAAGAGCTGATCCTGAGGCTGGGGAGGTGGCTTCCCCTGGCCGCCTTCCCTCCCACTCCACGGCCAGGTCACGTCCCAGGAAAGGTGACCCAGAGTTGAGGGTAGAGATGGGAAGCTTCCCAGTTCCACAGCTTCCCTCCCTGTGGACCCCAGACCAGGGAGCAGTGGCTCCTGGCCCCTGTGTGCCAGGCTCTGGGGTCTCTAAGACACCATGGCATCCTGAGATGCTGCTTGCTTGTTGGGAAAACTCACTCTAGAGGTCCCCAAGTCAGAGCCCATCAGAGCTGGAAGAGGTGAGGGCTCTCAGCACTCACCAGCTCCCCTCCTTCACATTAGTAATGGGACACAGGAGGCTGGGGGGGGGGGGCCGGGGGGGGGGTGCCAGTTGTCCTAGGGGCTAAAGTAAATAAGTGGTTGAGGCAGCAGTACACTTGAGAAAATCTTCCCAAAGATCTTTCAAGGTATCTGCTCCCAGTTAGCATCTTCTGGGTGGGTGGCTGGGGTTTTCTCACCCCTGATGGGAGGTCAGGGTGACCACTTATGAGGCTGCTTTGAGAGTCTGTGTGGTGGTTGCTGGGGCCCAAGACCAGCCAGCAGTCCCATAGCCTTTGACCCAGACTGAAGGTCTGACCCCAGCTTCTCCTGGGCAAGGGAACCTGCCAGACACCTCTGGCCCAGAAGGGGAGGGGAGGGGAGGGGAGGGGCTTGCTTAGGGTCTCTAGGCTGGGGCTGCCAGGGCTAGGGGCACAGTCCCAGGTGTCTGGATTCCCAGGCAGGGGCTCCTTCTGTTGCCCCCTGGGGCCATGCAGAAAGAGGGGTGTTGTGAAAGATAGCTTGGCGTGAGCTCTGTAGGTTCTTGTTCTGAGTGGGGAGGGGGAGGGGACGTGGCCTTGGTCTGAGCCCTGTGGCCTTGGCTGGGAGTAGTTAACCCCTGCTGTGCCCAGCTTCCTGGTGTCTGGGGAAACCCCCTTGGAAAGCCCCTGGGAGGTGGAGGAGGGTGGAGAGGTCAGATGAAGGCTAGAAGCTCAGTCCCTGGGGGTGGAGGGGTTGGGGGGCACCGAAAGAGAGGGTTACAGAGGGGCTTGGCATCCCCCCCCAACTCCCATCCATGGGGATTCAAATTCTCATTATAATCCCTACATCTAAACAAAGCTCCCCTTTGATGAGATAATTTCACACCTGTGATCTCATTTCATGGTGTGGTGGAAAGAACCTGGAACCTGGAGTATGAGGCAGGATGGGGGTTGGTGGGCCACCTGGGACCTCTCAGATGCATGCATGTCTCCAGGCCTCACCTGTAAAATGGGGTCAAGGCAGGCTGTGTGTTACCTGCTCAGATAATGGGGCCATCACATCTGGCAAACTGTCAAGTGCTAAAGAGATTTTTGTGTTTGCCAGGACTGGGCTTGTTACTAATGGCTGCCATGTGGGGGAAACGGAGGCCCAGAGAGATGAAGCCACATACTTGCCCAGGGCCTTGGAGTTTAATTCAGGAACTGAGCGTCAATTCATACCAGGTGCTCTGGAAGTCACCCAGATGGAAAAGGCAGTGGGACGACTAGCTCCCAGTTGGGTGGGCTAAACAGCGCAGGCAGACAGCTAAGTCAGACCAGGTGGGTTGAATCTGCTCTGCTTCCCGCTGGGCACTTTACTCTGGGCCACATGCACTTTACTCAAGAGCACTGGCTTCCCTGTAAATTGGAATTTCGCTTTTACAAGGTTGTTGTGAGAATTAAATAAGATGCAAATATATAGTGCTTGGCCAGATATCTATTTCCTTCTCTATAAAGAAAGGAAGCTTGAATTTTGACCAGGAAAATTCTCAGATCTGCCTTAGGTTAGAAGGTAGGCTACTGTTGCAGGCTCACAGACTGGGGTTTGCTCAGCTGGGACTCCTGTATGGGTCATGCTCCCCTGGCTGCTTCCCTGTTCCACAGCCCTCCGGAATCTGCTTCGAGACCTTGGCTAGGGGCTCCGGATTCTGACCTCCCACCCCCACCCCAGGGCTGTTGGCTTCTGGGGTTGGGAGGGGCTGGTGTTCTTTCCCTCTGGCCCCTTGTCTGGCCTTCCTAGGCACAAAGGTGCAGTGAATAATTTATGGCTCCCCTCATGAAATGGGAGGCAGGCTCAGGGAAATTGCCCTGTGCTCAGCTGAACTTCTGAATCCTACCAGAGCAGGTGGGTGGTTCCTATCAGTGCTACTAGACATCTTGGATATGGAGGGAGGGGACAGCACGGGAAGAAAGTGACCTATCATCAACCATGGCTCTTTTCCTGTTGGGGGTGGGAGCAAGATAGACGTGCAGGAAACAATGAAAAGCAAGCTAGGTGTGCTAGGATCCAGTCGTGGGCCTCTGATTCCAAATGAGTGCTAGGGGCTGGCAGGGAGAGGCTTTGAGGCTGGAGTAACCCAGAAGGCTTCAGAAGGCTCTGTGGGCTGGGACAAGAGGCAGTTTGCTATAGTGAGTAGGGGTCTTGACATCAGTTCAAAATTGAATCCTGGCTGTGCCACGTACTGTGAGACAGCGAGTGAGACACCATCCTGCCAGGCTTCTGTTTCGTCCTCTGTAAAATCAGAGACCAGAGACGTTATGGGTGACTGTGAGGTGATATATGTGAAGCACATGGTACGATGGGTAGTTGGTAGAAGGGTGCTTCATTGTGAACTTGAAGCATGGGGTGGGCTAGTAGCAGGGCGGATGGGATGGTGTAGAAGGCAGAGAGGTGGGGAGAACTCTGGAGTAGGAATACTGGGGTTTGTGGGGTCAGTGAGGCATGTGGGAAAAAAGGGATGGGTGGCCAGATGGTAGAAGGCCTTGAATGCCCGACAAACTTCACACTTCAGAAAGCATACGGAGTCCTCACTGAGAACCCTCTGTGGCTCTTTCTTGACTGTAAAAGGAAGACCAGGCCCCTTTGCTGTGCATTCAAGGCCTTGCCCACCGCAGCCGCTGCACAGACCTCTGGTTTGTTGTTTCTCACAGTCTCCCGAACCTGTCACGTGCTGCCCTCTGCTTATGGGGTTCCTCTCAGCATCCCTACCATCCCTGCTTCTCTGCTCACCTCCCATTTGTGTAGGCCTAACTCAGGTCATAAATTCCCCCCAGAAACATTCCTGGATTACCTAACCCTCCGGTCACATCTCCTCTGAACTTGTAACACTTCACAGTAATAGTAATAAATAATACCTACCGCTGCATCACATTCTACAGTCAGTGAAATGTGCCTGCATACTCATTTAATAAAACTATGCTGGTGATATTAACAGTAGCTAATGCCCTTGAGTACTTCTGAACCGCTGTGCCAAGTACTTTGTAGATACTCTCATTCACAACTCTGGGAAGTAGCTCCTGTTATCACCCAGAAACTGGGGCTCAGAGAGGTACGCGGTCGTCTTGTTCAAGGTCGCACAGCTAGACAGTGGGGAGTGAGGAATCAAGCTCCTCTCAGTGGCTGAACAGGCCGCCTGTCTCCTCCACTCTACCTGAGTACCTGGAGAGCATACTTTGCATATAAAAAGCCTGGAAAGAAACTTTCTTCTCAAAGCTAAGGGAGGGCCAGGTATCCAGACCCTGGCTATGCGACGTGAGGTGAATCAGCCCCCCTCGGTGGTCCTGTTTTGCCATGTCTGTGGTGAGTGGGGTGGTGTCCGAGCCCCCAGAGCCGCAGCCTTCTGCAGTGTCCTCTGTGACTCTAGAAGGTGGAGGAGGAGACCACAGTAATCAGGGCCAGAGGATGTGGTATGACGGGCAGCTGTGATTTTTGGCCTGGCCACCGTCTGGGCCAGCAGGCTCTGTAGTTAGCTGCTGCCTCCACTGAAGGGGGTGGCGGCCTGAGCTGCTGGCAGCATGGTCATTAGCTGGGCAGAGAAGACCCTGTGATTGGGAGCCGACTGGGCCAGGCCAGGTTGGCAGGGCTGGGGCCCGGCTGGCCCAGCCACAGTGGGGTCATTGGCAGGGCACCTCCTTCTCTCCTTCCTTCGCAGCCTCCCAGGTGGTGGCAAGTCCTCACTGGGCACCAGAACTTTGTAGGCCGAGGCCGGCCCTTCTTCCTGTTGTGGTGGTCATGGGGGTAGAGCAGCGAGGATTCTAGCCACGCCTGAAGATGCCTCCTCCTAGAAGCTTCCACGACTCCTCCCAAGCAGGCAGAATCTAAGCCTCCTTCTGGGCAGATCCGCACGCTCACTCGCTGACTGTGGTCTGTGGAGAGGGGTTGTGTGGGCCCGCTTCCCTCGCCAGCCTGTCAGAACTAGATTCTCCGCCACCCCGGTCCTCCCCTCCTGACCGAGTGCCTGGCACAAAGCAGCATTCCCCTGGTTGGCAGTTCAAGCTGCCCCTTGGGCAAGCCGCTCAACCTTTGTACCTCTGCGTCCTTCCCTGTAACGTGGGGCTGATAATAACAGTGTTGTGGGGGTTCAGTGAGATGAGAGGGGTGAGGTGCCCGGCCAGACCCGGCACACAGGCAGGTACTCTGTTGGCCTGAGACCACTTGCCTGTCCCCTCGGCAGCCCTGTGAGGAAGTGGCTCGGGAAGAAGCTGATTAAAGGGTCCAGCCAGTGGTGCCAGGCA